CACCCGGAGGTTTAGTATCATACCATCATAACATATATGAGAAGAACATAACCCGTGTCATGCCAACAACTGGTTTTTTAAATAAATGTGTTTAGTTCCGATGCAAAGACCCTATAAGTGAATCAATATTAACGCCAAAATATGCAATCTTTAATGACCTGACAACAGTATTGTAACTATATCCCTTCTTAATAAGTCTATTTAAAGGTTTTGTTAGCTTCAGAGGTGAATACTGACATTTTTGTGCTTTATAAAGAATATTTCCATAAAAAATTGGATGTGAAATACCTGAACGTATAAGAAGTCTGCATGTTGAGCTATATTTACGAATGATGTCCTTATACTGATGATAAAATTTAGTAAATGTTTTGACTAGTTTGTGATATCGAAAACCCTGGTGTAATAATTTTTCAGTAATACATAAATTTCTCTCGTTAAAATGTAAAACATTGTTACATACACGAGTGAATCGAACAAGTTGAGATATATAAACACCGTAAGATGGTGACAAGGGAAGTCACCATCTAAAAATGGATAATTAACGATAGGAAATGAAAAATCATCTCTTTTATCATATATTTTAGTATTAAGCTTTCCGTTAATGATATAGATATCAAGATGGACACATTCTTGTTTGTTGACTAGCTCGAGTACTGCATTTTGTGAGCTGCTGGTTTAATAAGACAAATAAATGATATAAAGATATTGAATAGATATTGTATAGTGTATAGTGTATATCTTTATATTATTTATATACACTATACACTATACAATATCGATTCAATAACTCATACTATAAAAATAATCTCATCTTAACCTTTTGTATTTCATTTTGAAAAACTAAAAAACTACATTCCAATGATTTGTGGCTGAGACCAGGTAAAAACCCACTTTTAGGAACCTGAGTCCTTTTGTCAATGCCAGCGAAACTCTAGAGTAGGACCTTACTAGGGAAATGAGAAAAAAATCAAAAGATGATTTTGTGCATTAACTACATAGTCGTGCCAAATATAACACAACACAAACATAATCTTACTTTGCTGACAGCCTGTCATGCTCGATGGACGCCAGATTTAAATATTATATTAATATTCACAAATACTATTATTGCAATGCATTTATACATAATTCAAAATCATACAATTCCTATGTATATTTATTATCCTAAATACAACCAAACCAACTTTGACTAAATACACCCCTTCATAGACGGTCATGGCCGGCAAGGAACAACTAGAGATAAAAAAAAAAACGATATAACCATCGGAAAGCTCTAGAAACCTGTGTGCACAATCTCGTCTCCAGGGTCAGGTGATTGACCTACACCTTGAATCTTGATTACAGTTACAGAATTAATCACACAATTATTTTATGCAGGCACAGGAATTGTTATCTGAAAAAGAAATAGACACTTTTCAATTTCTCTGCCTTATTTTATGAAATTGAAAAAGGAAAACCCTTATTAACTGGGAATTACAATTAAAGATTAACTCTTTTATTATTCTTATTAAAGCAGAGACATATATACATGTATATATGTCTCTGATTAATGTGATTCATTGTCATTCATTTTAAACTGCAAACAAGGAATTATTGGAATCTGAAATAAATTTGAATTCTGGAAAATTGATAAGAAATGTATGATGAAAACTAACCATAAGTAGATATAAGATGTGGTATGAGTGCCAATGAGACAACTCTCCATCCAAGTCACAATTGTAAAAGTAAACCATTATAGGTCAAACTACGGCTTTCAACAAGTAGCCTTGGCTCACACCGAACAGCAAGCTATAAAGGGCCCCAAAAATGACTAGTTTAAAACCATTCAAACAGGAAACCAATGTTCTAATCATATAAAAACTGAGAAACGAGAAACACTTATGAACCACATCAACAACGACAACCACTGAACATCAGGTTCCTGACTTAGGACAGGTGCAAACAAATGCAGCGGGTTTAAACGTTTTAATAGGTGCCAACCTTCACCATACCTGAGGGAACGTTCAATATTTATCAGATGGATGGGCCAGTGCAAAATGGGGCAGGGCAAGCACTTTTTTGGTGGAAATATTTGGATGGGCGAGAACTTTTATTTACATGTATAGCGGATGGGCCAGAACTTATTTTATAGGAAAAATTTTGCTATCAATTTCATCGGTGTGTAGGAAATTTCTTTTGCAGGCACACTAAACATAAAAGACATGGTCTCAACAAACTGGTAGCTTGGTTCATTTCTGTCAATTTTAAGGTTTTAATTAAAGAATACAAAAGCTAGAATTTTCTATTCGGACTAATTTCAGATAGTCACTTTTAAAAGTTTATATAAATTTTCAAAACCACTTGGATTTTCATATCAATTGTATTTTGACCTTATAGAATACCAGGTTGTTTGGTAGTTTGGTGTATTGCTGTCAAATTTATGGATTTTATTCATAAGTAAGAAAAAAAGCTAAAATTTTCAGTTTAGGCTAAATTCAGATAGTCACCTTTAAATTTTTTTATAACTTTTTCAATTCAACTTGGATTTTCATAAAACTCTATACCTATCTCATTCATATATTGATCTTACAGAATGTCAGGTTGTTTGGGAGTTTAGTGTATTGCTGTCATTTTTATGGATTTAATAAATAGGTTAGAAAAAAGCTTAAATTTTCAGTTTAGGTTAATACCAGATAGTCATCTTTAAAATTTTTTATAACATTTTCAAATCAACTTGGATTTTCATATAACTCTACAGCTATCTCATTAACATATTGATCTTACTGAATGCCAGGTTGTTTGGTACTTTGGTTCATTGCTGTCATTTTTATTTTCAAGAAAGAAATTATTGTCTTTTTAAAGCAATTTAGGCAGACATGTTTTTGAATTTAGTCTAAACTGAACATTTAAGCTTTTTTTAACCTATTTATTAAATCCACAAAAAGGGCCCCTCCCCCCTTAAATCTGCCTTTGGGATTTAATTAATAGGTAAAAAAAGCTGCATCAAAGTCAAAAACATGTCTGCCTAAATTGCTTTAAAATTTTTATGGATTTAGTTAATAGGTTAAAAAAGCTACAATTTTCAGTTTATGGTAAATTCAGATAGTCACCTTTAAATTTTTTTATAACTTTTTCAAATCAACTTAGATTTTCATATAACTCTACAGCTATCTCATTTATATGTTGATCTTACAGAATGCCAGGTTGTTTGGTAGTTTTGGTGTATTGCTGTCATTTTTATGGATTTAATAAATAGGTTAAAAAAAGCTTAAATGTTCAATTTAGACTAAATTCAGATAGTCATCTTAAAAAATTGGTATAAAGTTTTCAACTTGGATTTTCATATAACTCTACAACTATCTCATTAACATATTGATCTTACAGAATACCAGGTTGTTTGGTACTTTGGTTTATTGTTGTCATTTTTATGGATTTAGTTAATAGGTAAAAGAAGGTACAATTTTCAGTTTAGGCTAAATTCAGATAGTCATCTTTAAAAATTGGTGTAACGTTTCCAAATCAACTTTGAATTTCATAAAACTCTACAGCCATCTCATTTATATATTGAGCTTACAGAATGCCAGGTTGTTTGGTAGTTTGGTGTACATGTATTGCTGACAAATTTAGGGATTCAGTGGCGGATCCAGAAATTTTCATAAGAAGGGGCCCACTGACTGTTTAGGAGGGGGCTTGCTCCAGTCATGCTTCAGGGATTTCCTATGTAAACAACTAATTTTTTCCCACAAAAAGGGGGGCACCCCTCTAGTTTATTATACACAGGCGTATTAAGGAAATGTAGTCCAGCAGAGTTCTCAAAAAGTGGTGGTCCGAAGGTTTTGCCCACCGCCATATTCAAAGGACTGACTTTTTTGTTGTTTTTCAATAGAACATACATATACATGTAATCTATAGTGAGGATCAGCAGATTATCTTCAAGGACTCTCTGATAAAAACCAAACATAATATGTTGATATTTATGTTTTCATGCAGACAACATTGATTTATTCAAACATTTCTTAGATTTCTGACGTTATTCCCATGACTTTTGTATGTGACCATGTATGTTGAACAAAAAATATTGGACACTGTGACTCTGAAAAGAAACTATCTCTGAACTAAAGATATTTGTAAAACAATTTTTATTGTAATGAGCATGGTCTTGACTAGCATAACAACTACATTTACATTATATTGAGTTATCATATGATTTGTGTATTCCTAGTACAATACATAATTTTATGTATGTATTAATCGGTGTAATTCTGAATTTTACAAGTTGGTTCTACAATATCATTGAAACTATATGATGGTTCACTCGGCATTAAAAGCCACAATGAATCTAAAATTAAAATTATATGGTGGTTCACTCTGCATTAAAAGCCACAATAAATCCATGATTTAAATATATGTTAAAAGTTTAAAATTTGTATCCCCCCTTTTTTACAAGTATGACACATACTGTACAACTAGAATGTACAATTTGTTCCAGAATTTTTTGTTTACCTGGAGTACATTTGTATATAAGAAAGACCATGAAGGCAATGTATATTGAGACTATGAAAAAGGGTAGGTACATGTAACTAAACATGCTATAGAATATTTCGACCTAATTTAAAGGAAACGAAAAAAAATATGAGTGTCAAGCATTTAATGGCAAAAAAAGTTGTGAATAGTCCTGTTTAAACTAACTTAATTTTTGATATTTTAATGTGGCTCTTTATTCCAGGCTTGTGACTGGCAAGTTGTACTGTATTCATAATAATAAGCACCTTGGTTTTATTTAGAAATTAAAAATGGAGTATCTTGTATCAATGAAAATGATAAAAGACGTAAATATTGGGTCTGCTCTAGATGATTGTAAAGATAATTTTTAAAATAGATTTCCTGCATAATGAGGTTATATTATTTAATCACAAAATTTGTAGGCAAATCTAAGCGTCCTATCACGATGGTGGGTGTTATGGTGCATGAAAATTGGTGAATACAGTATTACTTGGCTGCATTACCCACCTCCCTCCTCATTTTTTTTTTTTTTTCATTTTTTTTTTTAATTTTCTTTTTTAGAATTTTCTTTCTTTCTTTTCTTTCTTTTCTTTCTTTTCTTTTTTTGAATTTTCTCTCTTTCTTTTTTCTTTCTTTTTTGTTTTTTCTTTTCATTTTGTTTTCATTTTTTTTTTCTTTCCTTTTTTCTATTCATTACATGTATGTACACAAGTTTCAAGCACATGCATTAATTTTTTCTTTCTTATATAAATATATATATATATACATGTATGTACAGTCTTCTTAAACATGTAGAAGATTTTGAACAATTGTTTTTAGAATCAGAAATCAGTACTGGTGCCCCAACGTTCCAGTAGTTGTTTTGTTTGTTGATGCAGTGCATTTTTTGTCTTCATTTGGTTGTATTTTCCAAGCATTTTAAATCCAACAATCATCTTGGCTCTCTCATACTGTTTCGTAAAAGACCTGTTTCCTGGATTTTCCATTGCAAGTCTTCAGTATATTGTAAAACTTTTAACTTCTTCACCGGTTCCCAGAATTGTATCAACCAGTGTTGTTATTTTGTCTGGAAAAAATGATTTATTGATTTATAACATTAAAGAAGACTAATGATAAGACTAATGATTTGTAGATCGAACAGAGGTTTTTTTTTAATATATTTTATAGTTTAATGTTGATTATCTGCATAGGCATGCGCGTAGCTACGTTTACGTCGAAACGCCCGGGCGTACACATAAATTTTGAAGAAAAAAATATTTGAACCCAAATAAATTATAAGAACTGATTAAAAGCACACGAGCCTTGTATTTTTTTCTTCAATGACTTGTAATTGGATATAAAAGACAAAGTGACGAAATATACTTTTTAATCAAATGGTATCATATGATTTATTAGATACTTTTATGTCATATACATGTAGCTCTGTAACTGTTTCGGTTCTTATACATCCTCCGCTTTAAAATATTCGGCTTTGATCGTTCCTGATGAAGGTAAATCCAGAAAAGCGCTTCAAACTCATGAAATTAATAATGTGTTGTTTTCATATTTCATATTATATATTTTTTTTCATTTTCTGTCAAAGTCTCATTCTACTGTGAATTCTACTCAGTTTACTATTGTTTAAAGCAATTCATTATCTGGTCAGATATGATGTGGCTTGCATTTTTATGTTACAGTTCAATATTTATTTTTACCGTAACACCTGCCCATCTATGAAAATTAATTAGAACATATGTCCATTAACAAAATTTAAGTGTAAAAAGGTGAGTAAACTAGATCTATATTTAAAGGTAAAAAAAATTAATAGAACGACAACATTGAAATGGAGACTTGCCTTTTGACTATCTCTATATTATAAAGTTTTGATTTTTTGTCGATTGATTGTGTACCCCACATCTCCTTTTAAACGAATCTAATTAAAATATATATCTCTGATTTCGTTATACTCATAAGATATGAGCATGCAAGTAAATATAGATATAAGGTGCTGCTGGAATGTTTCTACATAGAAAAGAAAAGTTCACAGTTGGAGGCTGAAATCATCTCCTTTGTCGTAAAGTTTTGTTCTCAACCGACCAAGTATGTTGCTATTGATGAGTTTTTAATGACAGATATTGGTATCTCTTTCTCAATAATGCGTGAACATCCGGGGGTTTCGCCCCCAACTAGGAGGTCCACTGTTCTGGACCTCAAACCCCTCGATGAGGTCGGGCGTACACTTAAAAATGGCCTAGCTACGCCACTGAAAGGGAATCATTTCTATTGGGATATTATGACCAAAAGGCTAGTTTAGCTAGTGCATTTTCAGATAGTAGCCTGGGCCTGTATGCATAATTTATAAAGCTACTTAAGTTAAGATTTGTTCCGAATGGACAGATTTTTCTACATGTCCTATAATGAATTAGTACTACGATTGGATTTCTTAAGTGGTTTATGCATACAGTCCCTTGAGACTCAATACCAATTTGACAAAAAAATGTTTTGGAGCAATATTGCTTCATTCCAAACCCAATTCACATGCAGCTGTGCAAATATTTGTGTACATGTACTTTAATATAGGGCACACATGGGCACTGACTAGGATATAATTGGGCTTGCATGTATTTTCTTGCAATCTCTTGAAAAATCATACATAAACATTTAGAATTAGTAGAAATTAGTGATTTTAAATTGAGGTTAAAAGTACCCCCCATCTTTCCTTATAATACATAACACATTAATGGAACAGTAATTTTGCACACTGCTGAAGCATGTTTTGTTTGAAAACTATATACAGATATATATCTACCTGTTTGTGTACACATGTTTATTATGGATTCAGTTTCTTCATGTTCCTGACAATCTTTCAAACTAAAAGGATCCAAAATCTTTATCTGCATAATAAAAAAAAAAACCTAAGTCCAAATTAAAATATATGTGTGGTTCCAGTTACATTCTCAAAAAAAGATAGGGTCGGTGTGTTCACGGAGTCCCATTCTGGTATTATACACACCCCTACCGCAAGTTTGCCATTTTCTATATGTTTGGTTGTGAAATATTACAGACATGTTACATTTTTAGTTAATTTTATTGCATTCTGTTAAGAATTTGTTGCATTTTTAGCCGTAGTGGATACTTTTATTGGAATTTCATATGACAGAAGTCTGTGAATTTAATTATTGAAATTCACATTCCATAAAATAGGATCATTCAAAATTTATTTTACAGAATAATAAAAAAAGTTCTAGGGTGGTTCTGGTAACTGGAACCACATATATATTTTTATTTTGCCTGAATTCAAACGGCAATCATGGCAATTGGTCATATTTTAATGGAGGTAGGTTTTGAAAATTTAATTGAGTATCAAAATGAAGGCAATAGTGTGTGATTTAAAAAGAATTTTTGTTTCTGTTTGTTGTTAACATATAGGTCATTTTTTATGCCAGTACTGAAGCTGAGGGGCATCAAGTGTTACCCTAGCTTGTCTGTCTGTATGTGCATCCCAAAAGTGGTTACCGTTTTTAACTTTAGTTTGCCTCGACCAAATGTTTTGAAACTTATACACAATGCTAACTACCACAAAACACTGTTCAGCTTTGAATTTAAATGGCGTCACTCTTAAATATTATATGGACACATTCTCCATTTATTTATCTTATTGCAAATTAGATTATGAAAAAATAACAAGGATTTTATAAGATTTTTAAACATGGATTTTAAACCATATGTAATAAAATTATGAAAAGATAAGTAGGGGTAAGTGGGCAAAATTGTAATGGCACTTCATGGATAAAACAAGAGGATTCTGAATATCTGACAAAAAGTTAAAAAAAAAAAAAAAAAAAAGAGCGACCATCTTTAAGTATTAATGTGTTTACGACACTTAGACAAAGACTATAACCACATACCCCCTGTGGTGCAAAATAGACAAAAAGAACTTCTGACCAAACTCTTAAAACTATTAAGCCTAATGCACATTATATTCCTCTCAATTTTTATTTTTTTAGATGAAAATGAAATTTGTTTTCAACAGAGTAGATACCTACTCATTTATGAGAAGTATTAGACCACAAAGTTTTACTCCCCATCCATGAAAACAGCCACTGTAATAACCTAAAAAGGAATTAAAATTGACGCAAATTATATATTTTACAAAGTGTTAAATTGTCGGCCAAAAAATTAGTTTTCTGACTTAAGATTTCGCATAGCATCAAAACCAGTTTAATATCTATAAAACTGGGAAAAAAAAACATGTTTTGATTTTGTTTTAACATAAATTTTTTTCTCAATAATCTATGAGTTATCTCCCATTGAATGACACATTCTTGCTGTTTGTTGTACTAGTCTCCTCCTGAAGGTGAAATCTATCTCAAAATTTACTTTTCAAATGATATATTATCTTATTCATGTTACTGGAAACGAAATATCAAACTGATAAAATAACTTTCTTGGTACTTTGAATGTGGAAAATAAATGTTCTTTGTCGTATTTTCATAAAATTCTATGAAGGTTTGACAAAGTAATTGATAACTAATATTTAAACCTTAAAATTATCTTAGTGAAAACTTTGAAAAAAGTCCATTTATTACATCTGTTGCAATGAAGGACTGATTTCCAAGTTAAATAAAAATTGATAATTCCCCTTCTCTGATTTTATATACAGCAATAATAACTAAATAACTCATACCCTACACACATTTGTTCCTTCAATTTGAATTTCAAAATTTTGCTGTGGATTCTTCTGATGTACAATTACTTTAAAGTTTGATGAAGATTTTGATGTTTGAAAACTTTTTAATCATAATACTGAACCTAAATTTGGACGCCTAAAACAAAGTAATGTGAATTGCTATGCCTGGCTTCTGCGACAAAATGTCACAGGCAAAATTCAAGTGCATTTACATAATCTTTAATTGACAAGTTTATAAATCTATGCAATGGTTCTTACCTTAAAAGACAGCTCCAATGACCATTCTAAACAATCCATACTGACAAGCAGTAACTAATGCTAACCTGAAAGTAAAATGCTTAGTCAATCAAAATTGTTCAAAACAGAGGCTCTTAAGATCCTGTGTCGCTCTTCTTCATCTTCAACAATAACTACTTCCTGGTAAAAATCATCACGAAAGGGCAATAACTCTATAAAGAGTAAACTGACGATTTCAGTCGTGTTGACATATTTGTAGGTCTGGTCCTGTTGATCATTTTTGCTTTACAAAAGGGCAATAACTCTATAAAGAGTAAACTGACGACTTCAGTCATGTTGACATATTTTGTAGGTCTTGTCCTACTTTTTTCAAGATAATAGGCAAAAACTAAAAAAAATGTGGTAAAAAAACGGCAAAAACTCCATGAACAGGTCGACTTAAGATTTAATACAAGGCAGCTTTTTTGTAAATCTTGACTTGCTGATCAATGGTAAAAATCGTCATTGAAGATCAATAACTCCAATAACTAGTCCTCAGAAGATTTCAGTCATTTGACTTTTGTGCATATCTTGTCTTGCTTTTTTTTGTATTAAAATTTCTCTCCATCTATTTTTATTTTCAAAATAATGAATAAAAATGAAAAAAAATGGTAAAACTTCACATTTAAGGGCAATAACTCCTTTAAGAATGTCTGACAGTTTTGACGTAATTGTACAGCAGGTAGATCTCAACATTCTGAACATTTCTTCATTTTCGTGGATTGAGGAACAATTGTATTTTTGTGGGTTTTGATTAAGTTGGCATACAAGTCTATAGAAAATTTGTACTACATTGAACATTTATATATGTTGGTCACTTATATATCCACGAAAATTGGTATCCAAAGAATGATAATAAATCCAGAGTATATGGAAAGAGGTTATGTATGACATAAACTGTTAACACAGATATGTCTCGTCTATTTGTTATTTTTATAATGCAAATGATGAAATTAAAATAGCAATACATTAACATGTAAGTTATGCAAATATTCAAAGTTAATGAACAATGACTGAAGGTACAGGGCTAAACAATCTCCATGGAATTGAGATGTGCCAATGTTAATACAAATGCAAACCAAATACCATTGACTTTTCATAAGTTGTTCCCTTTAAACAAACCTAATCACAAACATTAACTTGTTAACTATGTAAAAGTTTCAAAGTCAATGAACCATAATTAGGGGGTGGGGTTATATAATCTCCATGGAAATGAAACTTGCAAATGCCAATACATTTGCATACCGAATATCATTGACTAACATAAGTGGTTAATCTTAAACTGACCTAATCACAAACTAATACATGTAAACTAAGCAAAAGTTTTAAAGTCAATAGACCATGACTGAGGGGTAGGGACCAAATATTGTCCATGGAAATGAGATATGCCAATGCTTATACAACTGCATACCAAATATCATTGACCTACCACTAGTGGTTCCCCATAAACTGACCTAATTACAAACTAATACATGTAAACTAAGCAAAGTTTCAAAGTCAATAGACCTTGACTGAGGGGTGGGGCCAAATAATCTCCATGGTAATGAGATGTGCCAATGCTAATACAACTGCATACCAAATATCATTGACCTACCACAAGTGGTTCACCATGAACTAGACCTAATCACAAACTAATACATTGTTGACCCTGTCGCCACCGGAAACAGCATACCTATGTCTCGCTTTTTCACTCCGTCAAGGCGCGACAAAAATGAGTAACAGAAGATGTGTTGTATACATCAATGTGACAACATCTCAACAACACAAAAATAAGACATCCACAGAATTAATTAAAATCTTTAAAACATTCAGTCAAATTTTGGTACTGATATGAAAAAAACAAAATTCTGACCTCTTACATCTTCAAGCATAGAGCATATTTTATTTCCTATAAACTTATTTTATGATGAATAAAACTTGTTTAAATAGAGGAATTATATACCTACTTAAATACTAGAAATATTATACCACCAAGTCTTACTCCCATCCATGAAAACACTGAAATCACCTAGAAAGGAATTAAAATTGACATAAATTATACATTTTACAAATCTTGTTGAAATTGCCAGCCTAAAATTTTCAATGAGTAATCTCCCAATGAATGAAACAGTCTTGCCGTATGTTGTACTAGTCTCCCCTTGAAGGAAAAATTCTCACCTGAATTTTACTTTAGTGATTTAAAAGCGTTATTCGTGTTCCTGGAAACAATATATTGAATTGATAAATTCTTTTTTTTTTTTATGTGTTGTAAATGTGGAAAATAAGAAAACGGTTGTTGCCTTCTGTACTTTTATCACATATTTTTAGAGAATATACGGAAATTGTATTGCCTAATTGTACTTACATTATTTCTTTAATGGCCACACATCAGACTTGGAAGATTATCAATGTTATAATCTTTCTTGGAGCTGCTGTCCTTGCTTCTTTATTTTTTTCATGGCAGACTCGCAGAGCCTCAAAGTTAGTTGAAGATCTATGTTACCATCTTCCTTGGAACTACTATCCCTGCTCAGCTGCTTTATTTTTTTTTCACTCTGCATGTAGATGGAAATCAGATAGTTATTGAATATATGTACCACTCAGAAATAACCTAAAAAGGAATTAAAATTGACATAAATTATAAATTTTACAAATCTTGTTGAAATTGCCACTTTTTTGCCAGTCTAAAATTTTCAATGAGTCATCTCCCAATGAATGAAACAGTCTTGCCATTTGTTGTACTAGTCTACCCTTGAAGGAAAAATTTTCTCTGAATTTTACTTTTCGTGATTTAAAAGCCTTATTCATGTTCATGGAAACCATATATTGAATTGATAAATTCTTTTTTTTTTTTTTTTTTTTTTTTTGGGGGTTGTAAATGTGAAAAATAAGAAAACGGTTGTTGCCTTCTGTACTTTTATCACATATTTTTAGAGAATATACAGAAATTGTATTACCTAATTGTACTTACATTATTTCTTTAATGGCCACACATCAGACTTGGAAGATTATCAATGTAATAATCTTCCTTGGAGCTGCTGTCCTTGCTTCTTTATTTTTTCATGGCAGACTCGCAGAGCCTCAAAGTTATTTGAAGATCTATGTTACCATCTTCCTTGGAACTACTATCCCTCCTGCTGTTTTTTTTTTCAATCTGCATGTAGATGGAAATCAGATAGTTATTGTATATATGTACCACTCAGAAATAACCTAAAAAGGAATTAAAATTGACATAAATTATACATTTTACAAATCTTGTTGAAATTGCCAGCCTAAAATTTTCAATGAGTAATCTCCCAATGAATGAAACAGTCTTGCCGTATGTTGTACTAGTCTCCCCTTGAAGGAAAAATTCTCTCTGAATTTTACTTTAGTGATTTAAAAGCTTTATTCGTGTTCCTGGAAACAATATATTGAATTGATAAATTCTTTTTTTTTTTTTGTGTGTTGTAAATATGGAAAATAAGAAAACGGTTGTTGCCTTCTGTACTTTTATCACATATTTTTAGAGAATATACAGAAATTGTATTGCCTAATTGTACTTACATTATTTCTTTAATGGCCACACATCAGACTTGGAAGATTATCAATGTAATAATCTTTCTTGGAGCTGCTGTCCTTGCTTCTTTATTCTTTTCATGGCAGACTCACAGAGCCTCAAAGTTAGTTGAAGATCTATGTTACCATCTTCCTTGGAACTACTATCCCTGCTCAGCTGCTTTATTTTTTTTCATTCTGCATGTAGATGGAAATCAGATAGTTATTGTATATATGTACCACTCAGAAATAACCTAAAAAGGAATTAAAATTGACATAAATTATAAATTTTACAAATCTTGTTGAAATTGCCACTTTTTTGCCAGTCTAAAATTTTCAATGAGTCATCTCCCAATGAATGAAACAGTCTTGCCATTTGTTGTACTAGTCTACCCTTGAAGGAAAAATTCTCTCTGAATTTTACTTTTCGTGATTTAAAAGCCTTATTCATGTTCCTGGAAACCATATATTGAATTGATAAATTCTTTTTTTTTTTTGGGGTTGTAAATGTGAAAAATAAGAAAACGGTTGTTGCCTTCTGTACTTTTATCACATATTTTTAGAGAATATACAGAAATTGTATTGCCTAATTGTACTTACATTATTTCTTTAATGGCCACACATCAGACTTGGAAGATTATCAATGTAATAATCTTTCTTGGAGCTGCTGTCCTTGCTTCTTTATTTTTTCATGGCAGACTCGCAGAGCCTCAAAGTTATTTGAAGATCTATGTTACCATCTTCCTTGGAACTACTATCCCTCCTGCTGTTTTTTTTTTTCAATCTGCATGTAGATGGAAATCAGATAGTTATTGTATATATGTACCACTCAGAAATAACCTAAAAAGGAATTAAAATTGACATAAATTATACATTTTACAAATCTTGTTGAAATTGCCAGCCTAAAATTTTCAATGAGTAATCTCCCAATGAATGAAACATTCTTGCCGTGTGTTGTACTAGTCTCCCCTTGAAGGAAAAATTCTCTCTGAATTTTACTTTTCGTGATTTTAAAGCTTTATTCGTGTTCCTGGAAACAATATATTGAATTGATAAATTCTTTCTTTTTTTTTTGTGTGTTGTAAATATGGAATATAAGAAAACAGTTGTTGCCTTCTGTACTTTTATCACATATTTTTAGAGAATATACAGAAATTGTATTGCCTAATTGTACTTACATTATTTCTTTAATGGCCACACATCAGACTTGGAAGATTATCAATGTAATAATCTTTCTTGGAGCTGCTGTCCTTGCTTCTTTATTTTTTTCATGGCAGACTCGCAGAGCCTCAAAGTTAGTTGAAGATCTATGTTACCATCTTCCTTGGAACTACTATCCCTGCTCAGCTGCTTTAATTTTTTTTCACTCTGCATGTAGATGGAAATCAGATAGTTATTGTATATATGTACCACTCAGAAATAACCTAAAAAGGAATTAAAATTGACATAAATTATAAATTTTACAAATCTTGTTGAAATTGCCACTTTTTTGCCAGTCTAAAATTTTCAATGAGTCATCTCCCAATGAATGAAACAGTCTTGCCATTTGTTGTACTAGTCTACCCTTGAAGGAAAAATTCTCTCTGAATTTTACTTTTCGTGATTTGAAAGCCTTATTCATGTTCCTGGAAACCATATATTGAATTGATAAATTCTTTTTTTTTTGGGGTTATAAATGTGAAAAATAAGAAAACGGTTGTTGCCTTCTGTACTTTTATCACATATTTTTAGAGAATATACAGAAATTGTATTGCCTAATTGTACTTACATTATTTCTTTAATGGCCACACATCAGACTTGGAAGATTATCAATGTAATAATCTTCCTTGGAGCTGCTGTCCTTGCTTCTTTATTTTTCTCATGGCAGACTCGCAGAGCCTCAAAGTTATTTAAAGATCTATGTTACCATCTTCCTTGGAACTACTATCCCTCCTGCTGTTTTTTTTTTTCAATCTGCATGTAGATGGAAATCAGATAGTTATTGTATATATGTACCACTCAGAAATAACCTAAAAAGGAATTAAAATTGACATAAATTATACATTTTACAAATCTTGTTGAAATTGCCAGCCTAAAATTTTCAATGAGTAATCTCCCAATGAATGAAACAGTCTTGCCGTTTGTTGTACTAGTCTCCCCTTGAAGGAAAAATTCTCTCTGAATTTTACTTTTCGTGATTTAAAAGCTTTATTCGTGTTCCTGGAAACAATATATTGAATTGATAAATTCTTTTTTTTTTGTGTGTTGTAAATGTAGAAAATAAGAAAACGGTTGTTGCCTTCTGTACTTTTATCACATATTTTTAGAGAATATACAGAAATTGTATTGCCTAATTGTACTTACATTATTTCTTTAATGGCCACACATCAGACTTTGAAGATGATCAATGTAATAATCTTCCTTGGAGCTGTTGTCCTTGCTTCTTTATTTTTTTAATGGCAGAGCCTCAGAGTTAGTTGAAGATCTATGTTACCATCTTCCTTGGAACTGCTATTCCTGAAGCTTTATTTTGTTTTTTCACTCTGCATGTAGATGGAAATCAGATAGTTATTGTATATATGTACCACTCAGAAACGTGTCTGATTCCCCCAAACGTGTCCATATGACGTCAATGAACTGCAAAATATGACTTGTTGCTTAAGGGCATCAAAACGTGTTCTGTTTATGAACGCCCAAACATATCCAGTCTATATGGAACCAAAGGGTTCTTTTAAAAAGCCCATAAACAACTTCTGCAGGAAGCCTGTCATGCAATACCCTCATACATTATAAAGATATTTAGGCATCATCAGAGTATATTAGTACAAAATAATTCACTAAGTAAACGATGATCTACACTGTACAAAACTAGTTAATTGCATTTTCTGTGTAATTGTTTGCTCTAAATATGCTTGAAATATTTGCCACTGGCATTAAGCAATCAACGGTCAATAGTTAAATTAAGCTTGCAATAGTGCTTAATATAAACAACCGGCGTTGAACAAATTAATGCTAATAAATGACCACTGACTGTATTAACAGTGAAGCACTGGGAAAACATGCAATATAAATTGTATTAGATTTCTTAATTATGAAGTACCTCCAACTGTAATTTAAAACAATGACAATTCTATTGGTAAAAAATTAATAAACCACTGTAAGTAAAAATAGCTTATTTTGTCATCCTTTTTCTTACACTGTGTCTGTTTATTTGAAAGCAGAAGTCCCAGTGCACATTGTACCATATCTTGGATATTTGTCTATGCGGATTACTATATCTTTCCTCCAGATATCCTTAGATAGCTGCTTCGATTTATTTTTAAAATCCAACCCAAACCCGACGTCTTCTATCGTGTCCCCCATCATTGTATAGCCGTAAACTTCACAAGAGACATATAAGCGCTAAAAGTTTTGAGATGTTCTGGCGCTTTAAACTGGACACGTTTTGGGTAATAACAATTATTGGACAAGTTTGGGGGAGTGAAATCAGTCACGTTTGGGCGATTTAAGATTCTAAGGACACATTTGGGGGAATCGGACATGTTTAGGGGGATGGAAACGTTTGGGAGTGTTGCATATATATCATGATTTCTTCAACTACTTTTAAATATGTTCACCAAAGTTCAACTGAATCTTGAACAGTTTGTACATTTACAATTTAACTTTTTTAAATATTACTTTTGCACATATGCAGTTTTAGTTGTTAATTCTACAGGTCTTTGAAGCATTTCATATTAGTGTTGATATATCAAAGGACAGATGGGCATCTCACATCATCCTGTGGGCTCTCAGTTAATTCTCATCTGAGTTTTTGGACATTTAAGAAATTTTATTGTCAGGAGTTAGAAACCAAATTATTTTTATTCCCCCAAGTATTCTGTTGTCTGGTCACTATCTTCAGTTCCAACTTGTTTGGCTGCCATATCTAAAGCTATAGGGAGCCATGCTGTGTTCCTTTGAATTGAAAGGTTTGTCACGGTCTTTGAAGTTTGCTCCTTATGAATGGCTAATAAACTTTTCGGCCACAAACAGTCAAAATTATTACACAGATGAGACGACTAAAAAAAAACCCCAAAATAATCAACTTTTGCGACAAATTGCACAGACTGTAAGCTTACATGATTTTACTTCTTTCAGTCTTTCTTACATCACAGAGTACTAGAATGTCTTACCACAGAGTAGGTTACCTATCGAACAGTTCTATACTCTCTAGTCAATTCGGTAACATGAAAATAGATTATAACAATACATTTTTATTAAAGAATGTATCATTAGAATATTAATTTGAAAGCTATAAATATTACAGTTGTGATTATAAAACCAAGCAATTTTCCCAGGGGAAACTGATTTTATTACCTAACAAGGTTTAACCTAACTCATCTTCATCTTCTATGTACAATGGAACCATCTTCAAGCTGTACCACTGAAACTTCTAAGGCCTGCATTTGTAACAAAAACAAAAATTATAAAAGAGCGATGTGTTGGATAACTTCTGGCACAAATAATTTACCGTTAATTCAGAAACACTATTGCGAGGTTTTATTAATCTGAATAATGCGACAGGTTGAGTATTGCAATAATAAGAAACTCCAATTCCTATATCTGTATAAAAACTTTCCTGAAATTCAATAAAATAATCTTACTTTTAGTCCATAATGTAAAAATCGCAATAATAAATGCACACAATAATTTCTGAATTTACAGAGTTTGCTTTGGTAAGAGAAACACAAAAGTATGAATTCGATTTTATTACCTTACAACTATTAACAGTTTAAGTACAATTGTAACGACAAAATACATACATCATCATCTAGGTATCTACGATTAATCATCTACAGGTCTAGGACTGTACTTTCGTGGTCTTCTCTCTGGGCTCCCGTCTATCTGTAATACATATTCAAATTATTTTAATATCTATCAGACAACTATTAATAAATAAAAAAAAAATATACTTACTTTCCGATGCATATGTTACCTGTCCTGATGTAAATATCCTGGGGCTGGTATCTGAAACAAAAACAAAATAAGTTCAAAAATATTGAACCAAATATAAAACTTAAAAAATTTGCTACTTGAATTTTTTTTTTCTTTCAAAATATCCATAAAGAAATACTGGCATTAATGGCAGCCATCATCATTGGTCAATTGCTCTTTTTGACTGTATATCATTAACTTATTTTCATTTTAAATCTATATTTCAAACAGTAATGAAGACAGTTTAATGATATAATCATTATTTCCGAAATTAATGTGCGTGTCAAATTATCAGAAGTTGGTGGCTAACCAAAACAATCTTATGTATACATTTTGATCAGAAATGATTAAAATTCATCTGAATTGCAAACAATCTAAATCAAGTCATATTTTCCAAATTACTTTTTAAAAAATCGACTAAATATGTAGATAAACAAATTGACAATCAGAAACTTTACTTTCGTTCAGGTGAGACTATTAGAGAAAGGGTTTCCAAATTGTCAATGTTAAGAGACTATTTGCTGTTATAAATAATTCAGAAATTAATGTGATGCATGTTTTAATTCAAATCCTAAATTGAAGTACAAGTATACTTTTTCATTCGAGTATAAATTTGAAAAAGAAATTTTGGACTAATTTGTAATAAATTTTCAAGCTGTTTCTCCAGGGAAAACTGATTTTATTTCCTTACAACTATTAACAGTTTAAGTACAATTGTAACGACAAAATACATACATCATCATCTAGGCATCTACAATTAATCATGTCCAGGTCTTAAGGACTGTACTTTCGTCGTCTTCTCTCTGAGCTCCCGTCTATCTGTAATACATATTCAAATTATTTTAATAACTATTAATAAATAAAAAAAAAAAATATACTCACTTTCCGATGCATATGTTACCTGTCCTGATGTAAATATCCTGGGGCTGGTATCTGAAACAAAAACAAAATAAGTTCAAAAATATTGAACCAAATATAAAACTTAAAAAATTTGCTGCTTTAATTTTTTTTTCTTTCAAAATATCTATAAAGAAAAACTGGCATTAATGGCAGCCATCATCATTGGTCAATTGCTCTTTTTGACTGTATATCATTAACTTATTTTCATTTTAAATCTATATTTCAAACAGTAATGAAGACAGTTTAATGATATAATCAATCAATCCTAAATTAATGTGCGTGTCAAATTATCAGAACTTGGTGGCTAACCAAAACAATCTGATGTATACATTTTGAACAGAAATGATTAAAATTCAACTGAATTTCAAACAATCTAAATCAAGTCATATTTTCCAAATTACTTTTTAAAAAATCGACTAAATATGTAGATAAACAAATTGACAATCAGAAACTTTACTTTCATTCAGGTGAGACTATTAGAGAAAGGGTTTCCAAATTGTCAATGTTAAGAGACTATTTGCTGTTATAAATAATTCAGAAATTAATGTGATGCATGTTTTAATTCAAATCCTAAATTGAAGTACAAGTATACTTTTTTCATTGGAGTATAAATTTGAAAAAGAAATTTTGGACTAATTTGTAATAAATTTTCAAGCTGTTTCTCCAGGGAAAACTGATTTTATTACCTTACAACTATTAACAGTTTAAGTACAATTGTAACGACAAAATACATACATCATCATCTAGGCATCTACAATTAATCATGTCCAGGTCTTAAGGACTGTACTTTCGTCGTCTTCTCTCTGAGCTCCCGTCTATCTGTAATACATATTCAAATTATTTTAATATCTATCAGACAACTATTAATAAATAAAAAAAAAAAATATACTCACTTTCCGATGCATATGTTACCTGTCCTGATGTAAATATCCTGGGACTGGTATCTGAAACAAAAACAAAATAAGTTCAAAAATATTGAACCAAATATAAAACTTAAAAAATTTGCTACTTTAATTTTTTTTTCTTTCAAAATATCTATAAAGAAAAACTGGCATTAATGGCAGCCATCATCATTGGTCAATTGCTCTTTTTGACTGTATATCATTAACTTATTTTCATTTTAAATCTTTATTTCAAAAAGTAATGAAGACGGTTT